CTCTCACCCCCTCTCTCTCTCCTAAAAAAATGTATCATGCGCGTACACCGTGCACATTGTATACGGGAAAAAAGATGCGCAAGGGGCACGCCGAGTGATGCATATGCACGAGCGCATTTTGCAGAGAAAGAGAGAGAGAGAGAGAGAGAGAGAGAGAGAGAGAGAGAGAGAGAGAGAGAGAGAGAAAGAGAGAGAGAGGGAGAGAGAATAGTTGATTAGCCTTTTTTCTGACACGCGTCCCGGAAATGTTGCTTTTATTAACCAAGATGAAGAGGAAACTCCGACACTATGGTTCTTCCTTTGTCGTAGCGAGCAAATTTAGCTTTTCATTATGTTGAATCCTCTAGATCCTTTATTTATTTATTAATTTCTCTTTTTTTGTATTTTTTCCTTACCCTCGAGATAGATTCACGTCAAGAATTAATGCTTAGCTTTCGGAGCAGCTCGTGCATTATTTCAAGAAATTACAGCCCGAGCAAGGGAACCTTGTTTCGGACTTTCGGCAACGTGAGCTCGAATTTACTGAGAAATACTACTGTCGCAGAATGCTGCTGCTGTTCGTAAGGTCCCGCAGGTCACTCGGCAAGTGGGTAGGTATAGATTGCACCGTGTGTGTGCTTAAGGAAACTTCTCGTTTCCCCCTTTTGTCCTCCCACGTCCCCGGATAAACAAACTTATCTGTCTGATCTGCTCAAGAGTGAAAGAACGTGTTCTCCATCGGCGTTCCCTCTACACGGCCGAGAAACACTGCTATCGATCGATTCGCTAAATGCAGGACAAATGCGGACGCATATTACGGAATCGGAGCGTCCGCTTAATGCATTCGCGCGTCATAAACATTTTCCTTTCCGCTGTGCGCGGCCCGCCTGTCGCGTAGATAAAGTCTGACAAGGGTATTCGTCAGTCGTAGTCGCAGGAACATCGAGATGCCACCCTTCTATTCATGAGCTATAAAACTACACCCGGTCTGGGCTATAAAAATTGCAAATTGCGATCTAAATTTACAAGTAAGACTGCGATCGATAGACTTTTCTTATTATTGAGAGACGTCTGTGCTGAGACGTCTTCATATTGTACACAAGTAGTGTGTCCCAAAATTATAAATGTAACAGTACAAATTGTGCAGTGAGACTAGAGTTTCTTTATTCCTTTATTTTGCGCTTTAATCTTTCGAATTAACCCGAGTAAAAAATTGTTAGGGCTAATTCAGGCAGTTGAAGGCCCCCGATAAGGATGATAACAGGATTCCTTAAAAAGGGATACCCTACACTGAGAAAAATGCTTTGATTGTATCAACAGGATATTGTATGATAAAATGTATTTTAGCTAAACCAAACAGAATTTCTAGTTAGCATGACAGGTCTCGATATTTCATAACCAGAAGTTCGCTAGACTTCACTACACATCTGGTAAATCCTAAAGGAATTCTGATTCGTCCATTTTCTAACAGACGACTGGTTGAATCTATCAGATTTTTTTTCAGGGTACTATTGTCACATCGGGGCCTTCTTAAATATTGTCAAAGATGCCCTGGTTTCATGAATTCAGGGATATTATTAAAAATGTTTCACGAATTCCTTCATAATACACTGAAAAAAAATCTGATAGATTTAACCAGTCGTCTGTTAAAAAATGGACGAATCAGAATTCCTTTAGGATTTACCAGAATTCCTTTAGGACATACCAGAATTCCTTTAGGATTTACCATGAAAGATATTTTATTACCAGAAGTTCGCTAGACTTCACTACAAATCTGGTAAATCCTAAAGGAATTCTGATTCGTCCATTTTCTAACAGACGACTGGTTGAATCAATCAGATTTTTTTGTCAGTGTAGGGTTTGATAAACGTTAGCCTGAATAGTACTAGTAGCACTCGCTGCCGCGATGTGGCGACCGCGCGTTAGGCTTTCGTCAAAATCATCCCGCATTAGTATGAAAGGCGAGCCGATTATGATCTGGCAGCGAGTTGACTGGATCATGGATAAACTCAATGACCTGAATATACCTTTGATGACTATGTAATTTAACACAATTTAAAAATTAGTTAAAAAAATTAGATTTCTTTAAATGTCTGCTCGGTAAGCCTTAATTAAGGATAAGAATTAATATTTTGAAAGTGCCTGATTATGTTTTCTTTCGAGGTCCTGATAATATTTCTTTATAAGGTCCCAATAATATTTCCTCACACGGTTCTTATAAACTATTTATTACAAACTTTTCAGGGGCCTGATCATTTATACGTATTAGGGCTCGATTAATATTAAGGAAAATTGATCAGGTCCTTCACAGTCTTATCAATGTTTTACTCGGGAGTCTGCAATTTGAAATTAATTAGGATTTATTTCAATCTTCGTTTCTCGAGAACTTTTGCATTGTCATCTCTGGTAACTGCTCTCGCAAAAAGTCTGTATATGTATAACGGTCAGATCCTGTACGTTGACCGTCTCGAGTTAAATAAAATAGCATGAAACGCGAACGAAGTCGCCGACGTCATCTTCATATTTTCATCCGTCATAAAACAGTAGATGCTTTTCCGATTCGATTTCGTAGTTCAAGTCTTCGACAGAGATAAAATGTAAAAACATTGCACTATTTTATCTGTGACCGGTCGAGTTATCTTATTCGTTTTCCGTGTTTTCATAAATTATTAGTGAGTTATTTTAAATTTTTTCATTTATCAAGGAGAATCCACAATAAATTTTCAATATTTTAATATTGACTTTATATCGCAAAATATCAATGTTGTATCTCGAGCTTTCAATAAATTTCAAATGCAAAGGTATTTTTCGCAGTTATTTATCTTTGTGATCGATACATGTAAAGTATCTTCGTCTCCATTCGCACATCTCTGTTTTATAATTTGCAAAACTTCTCTCTCCCTCTGTCTCCTGCACCTTCAAGAAAAACGGATAAACGTTTCTGTTTTCCGCTCTACCTATTACCGTTCCATAAATTTTCAAGTTTTCCCATTTTGAAGGTAACGAGCAGCGATGTATTTGGGTCAGGAAATTTTATAAAAAAAATTGCGAGAGAACATTATCAGACATTAGCGAATCAACGAAAAAACCAACAACCTACATACTTGGTCCACTAACAATCTAAGGCAATGCCCTATATTAGAAAATTAGCGAAAATAATCGATAGCAGCGCAAACTGCGGGGATCGTTTGAAGGTATCGCGTTCGTTATTAATAATTTAGCAACGCGCGTCGCTGTGCATGACTCGTGGGACTCGCAGGGCTAATATCCGGTATATACGCCGGAGCAGCTGCAGCGATACCGCGCGGAATCGGCGCACGAATTTTCGGTCATCGCTTTATATCCCCCGCGTATCTGGTCGCGCGAGCCGCGCGTGCCCCTTTCCGAATAATCGAGCCTCCCCTTTGTGCGAGTTTTCGCCGCTCGCGGGTACCGTCCCGTTCGGCCGTCCTCCGGCCCTCGGGAGAGCTTGCGCCAGTTGGCACGCAGAGAGCCGCGCGCCGCGGTACGGAACACTCCGGGACAGGTTCCCAACGCGGTAGCGCGCAGCCGGCCGCAGTACCGTCGTACGGTTTGCGCAAGAACCATCCCGCTCGTTCCTCATCGGCATGACACTCGACTCACCTGTCGCCGCACTGTCGTAGGAGTCCGAATCCTTTACCCCGACTCGCGCGCGCGATCGATCTCTCGCGCCTTTGAGTCCTCGAGCACGGTCTTCCGTCTTTCGCGATCTTCGGTCGAGATCCCGCGCCGAGTCGTCGGGGGCTCGCGTGAATGGTGAACGATTGACGGACCCATTGATCGCCGGTCAACGATGCGGTCGCGTGGTCCCGCTGGTGCACGGCTCGTACTCGAGCGAAGCCGTGTCTCTCGATGATCCTTCAAGGGATGGACACAAACGCGACGACGCTCGATAGGGCGCCAAGGATTTCAACGCTCCGCTTTCATTCCTGGCGATATTGCCCTCGAAACCTAGACGGCTCTTAAAACGCGCCGCGGTGATTGAGAATCGATACGCGCGCTGCGGCAGAATTATGTGACGATCGTGCCCGTGTGCTTCTCCGCAGCCCCCTCGGAATTTCGGGCATCCCTTGAAGAGGACGGGTCTTATCTTACGCGGGGGATCTTCAAGAGCCTGAGCATTCAGGTTGTTTCCGTGTTAATTATACGAGTTTCCGCGCGTTAATTTATCCGAGATTGTCGATGCGCGAGCGGACGTGCTTTTAATCCGTTTATTCGCAGCCCCGTTCGGTTCTCTTAATTTAACTCTTCTCCGCGTTCGTTGTCTTATCACTGTCTAAATTAACAGCGCGAAATTTGAAGACTTGCTTAAGCGGACGTGAATGAGATCGGATTTGCCTCCTTAGACGTTTGAATTTCAATATTTGCGTCGCGTTTATTTCCGCGTCAATTATTCAACGATTCGTTTACTCCGCGAGCCGATATATTTTTGCGACAGATTTATTTTCGCGTTAATTGCTCGACCTCTGGAATTGTTAAGCGACGTTTATTATTGAGCTTACTTTCGCATTAATTATTCGGATATCCCGTTAATTGACGCACATAGGCGATTTCATTCTCCAATTACAGCTGGAGCTCTATAATTATCATATCACTTACCGGTTTTATTTTCGGTCGGTTGTCCAACTTTTAGATATTTTAACAATCTCCAGGGGATAAAGGCCGCAACTTTAGGGTTCGAAGAGACCGACACCTACACATTGACAGCACATACTGAGAGTAGAGAAAGTTCAGCGATCGTATAACTTCACTTCGTCGAATGTGCTTCCGCGAGGACAATCTCGTGAGTGCGAGGCACACGGTGGGACTCGAGTGTGATTTACTTCTCGTCGCGGGAGTAAAAATCTCGACGGAAGGGACTATGTCACGGCGCGTCGCCTGGTGCTTCATTTGATACAAAATACCAACAGCGACGGCGACAGATACGGCCAAACGGCTCGAGAAATAACGGCAGCGTTAATCAACGCGTTCGTGCGACGCCCGCTCGTATAAACAATAAACAATAAACTGTGATATAAAGCTGAGAGATAGTCCCGTGAATCAACCGCTGCCATCAGCTGTTAAATTAACTGTGGACAAGGGTCTGATCCCCTGGCGTATGTTTGTGTGTCTGTGTGCATGTGCGGTTCGCTTTATACACGATGGCACGTTTGCAATGAGATCGGACGAGTCAACGGGATTAAGCATCGCTAATTATCTTAGAGCCGCCGTATAATTGCTGCTAATTAATCAGCGTGACTCTTCACGCTCCTCGTCCCTGTCGAGCTGCGAGCTTCACCGCCGTCGCGAGGTGAGTCGAGCTGTGCAAATATTCTTCGGCGACAACCTGGTAGCTGTTTATACACATTTTCCACTTACTTGTACATAAGCAGCTCTCTAATCGCGTAAGACACTCGGCAAACACATTCAAAATCGCTTCCGCCGAGCTTGCGAACTAATAAACCGCTCTCGTAAATGCGGACTGTCTCCGCCGATTGTAATTGAGGGTACGACAGCACCGTGTAATCCGATTTTCATCATTCGGAACTGATCGCCTCCTTCCGACGGAGATTCGATACGACGATAAAGCGAAAAATGACAAAGACCGGAACGCGACGTGTAAATTTTTATATTGATCATCTTAGCTATTTGGACGTCTGTTTATATTGCACTCTAGTGGATGTGGAGTCCTAGAAAAATTCCTACTTTTAGATATAAAAATTGTTAACTAACAAGGAGTAGTCTTCAATGTTGCCAATAATCATTACAAAATTTCAATGATAACTTGACCATGTCTAGCAATTTTTATGTTCATAACTTGCAACGTTTCGACTATGGTTTGTGGTTCTTTTCAAGCGATATTGTATCAAATGTTCAGTGTAATAAGTTGAAGGAACCGAGCTTAGGGGTTTACGAGAGGCAGTGAACATTTGATACAATATCGCACCCTCAGAAATGATTTCTGTTACTGAGACAAAAAATATTTTTCACAACCTCATTTAGTATAAAAATAAGACAATATCAAAATTAAGTCAATAATTCTTATTCTCCTCTATCGAATTAAAAAAGATTGACTTACTATATTGAGTAATTTATATAAATATAAGTTCATATAGTCTCGCGTTTAGAATAAATTTTCCCTGCATCTTGGCACCACGATATTTGATAAAAGATGATACATACTATCATTTTATTCTAGATTTTAGAATTTTGCATTTAAGATTAAAATATTCCTTTCTCTATAATAAATATGATTGGCGCTATATCGATCCTATTTTATGATACATTCAAGTGTAATAACATTGGATCCGGAAATGTGTTCTGCGGGTGCGCTTAAAAAGGACCACAAATCATGGTCGAAACTAGGGCTGTTACTTTTGATAACTTCGAAGATTCGAAGCTTCGAAAAATTTATTCGTGTGAGTGGTAAATTTATTCAAAGAACGCTAAAAATATTGTAAATAAAGAGTACTAATTTATATATGTTGAAAAATAGGTAATTACTTCTAAATTATAATTTTTAAGTATATACTATAACACGTATATGACATATTTGTTTAAGATTGCGTAATTAAATCTTAAGAAATTGTCAATTAAGTAAATCAATTAAGTACCGTATCAAGTTGATACGGTACTTAATACGCATGAATAAATTTATCGAAGCTTCGAATGTCGACCCCTTCGAAGGAAATCACCAGCCCTAGTCGAAACGTTGTGACTTATGAGCATAAAAATTACCAGACATGGTTGCTACTGCATTTTCCGATATTTTTCAATACTAATTGTGCACGGAACAAAGTTTTCTAGAAAAGGGAAATAATTGATCAATAGTGTAAAAATTACAAAAAAGGAATCCCGGTGGCATCACGTCCACAGTTGAGGATTAAATCTGCACATTATACCGATGCTACATTTCCGCGTAATTGATTTTGAAGATCTTCCTTCTCTCGGCCTCTTGACTTCGCTAGAGTGTACTCGAAAGAATTGCAGCGTTTCTTCGGGTTAGTTGCGACACTAACGCACATCTGCCGCCGCATATCTCGCGGCTCGACCTCGCCGATTCTTTACATCCGCATTTACGTTTACGAGCGCGGAAGGCACGAAGATAAGTTGCAGTCGTTGCGGCAAGTTTCCGCGGTGGGCGCGTTCGCGCGAAATTTACCGTTTCATTGTGCGTCTCTTATCGGCCGTAACAGTTTCGGACTCTGGCCTGTCTTTGGCCAATAAAGCGCGGACTCGTAGAAACTTTGCCTTTCAAACAATTTCTCATTTGCGATTATTTCTTGTGCAGAATAAGGCGCAAACTTATATCTGCTTTACATTTGGCAGAAAGGGGAGAGGGTGAGAAAGAGAGAGAAAGAGAGGAAGGAAGAGAGGGAGAGTTACGTTTTACTAAAAATAATAATGTAATAAAATATTAATAGCAGCTAGCGCGAACGTGTTAATAATAACTTAAATATATTCTTTTTCTAGATATTTTTTCTCTCTCTCTCTCACGTCTGTATTATTGGAATAAACTACAAAGCAGCTTTTGTTAAAACCCTCATGATTATGCTCGTAAAAAGATAAAGCTATGAAAATATATTTAATTATAAATGATTTAAAAAAATGTGTGTATCAACGAGATACATCAACGAGATATATCACCGAGAGAAGATTAAATCCCGCACATAATTCTTGCAATGACCGCTTTCACGTATTCAGCCTTTCCATCGTGCCGGATTGAAGCGTCATTGATCGTAACACAAATGTTTGCTTCACTCATTTCAATATTACGAATATTTCTGAAATGTTTTAAAATATTTTTTCATATATATTCACGGTTTTCATCTTTCGCGAGGCGAAGCACCGAGGAATAATATTTTCAAGAATCTCCGGAAAGCCTTTGAAATCCTCAAAATACCGCGCGACTCGGGAAAGCAGGAACACATTTTCATCCCGTGATACGGCATAAAAACTGCCGATTCAGCAGCTGGTGTTTTATTTGCCCGTTGTTCTCAGGAAAATGCGATATCGTCGCGGTGGAAAAGTTTAAACGGGGCAGAATGCAATTTGTTTACCTATACGCGTTAGAATAGAGGGAAATATTTCTGGTTTAGTAGCCGCGTTTATCTGCTACTTCTCCCTGTTTGCATACTCCGTTTGCATAAAGATCGAATGTTGGAATTAATAAATCCGTTACACACAACTACATGTCGCAGAAAAACACGTGATTCCAAAGCATATAGTATTCTTCCTCCGATTGTAAATAGGAAATTTAATTACATAAACATTATCCGCCAATTATTATTAAGAGAGTTGCGACAATAATTTTATGATTTACTGCGGTATATTATATTATATGTATTCAATTAATTAATTAATTATGATATTTTGCTCGCGATGTTGCGATGAAATAATTTTATTATGATCTATTATTATCACACAATATTTGGAAATAGATTAACAATAATGAAATTAACCAGTGTGCTTATAAAGCATCGATATCTCGATATATAATTTTCAGAATTTTTGCCATTGTATAATATATAGTAAAAGACTAGAACTCATTTATTTATTATATAAATACAGTTATGTAAATTACTAGAATACCTTATTAAGTATCTGGAATTTTAATAAACCAGCGCTATCTCGGTGACGCGATTAATATATGAAAGTGCGGTAGATTGTGTCGCCAAAATATGATAAATTAACGTTTGCTAAGCATTCGTTGCTAGAAAATGACGTCAATTTATAACAAGAAATTTTGCATCTCATGCAAAATTTTCAATTTAATTCGCGTAAGCACCGTTATCCCGATTGTTATTTCGTTGTCATAAACGTATTCGCGCGTTGGTGGTTTTTGCATACGCAGAAAATTTCACGTGGATTATTACGTTCATTTGTTCGGTGAAGCTAGCTGGGTAAGTGGTAACCTGATATAAAGTAATATTTATTTTGCATTACGTGCAATGCGCTTTCCAACAATTTTTTGCGTGTTTTGTGTACGTACATCAACCGTACGTGAAAGATCTAAACACAGGTGAAGCATACGTTGTAATTACTTGATTATAATCAAATTAAGTGGACATTACATTTTTGAAATGTAAGGAATACAGAAGCATTCCTTATAATTGTATTATATTATAAGGCAAAAATTTTATAATTGTATCGTCTATTTCGTGACATATATGGGATCTTTTTAAATCACAAAGTAACATTACGTAAAGTTTTTAATTATTAAAGTATTAATTAATCATCCAAGTTTTATTTAATTTGTTATTGTTAACAAATTTATCAACAACTATAAAGTATATACATATATGTACTACGGAAAAATGACAATATTTTAACGCGTCATACATTAAGTATAACATTTGTTGCACAAAAACTCTCTTCAAGCGAAAATTTTTCTGTCATCCCATATATGTATATCTAACGGGTTAATATACGATATGCTTGAGAATTTGAGTTAAATGTCCTAATTAACTTCATATTAAAAGAAAAACATATATAAAACTCTCTTTGCAGAGAGTTGTCGATTACTTTTTCGCGAGCTGAGAGTTGTTTTCACGAGTAGTTCATCATTGAGAGAGTTCATCATTGAGAGCATCTTGCATTTCGCCCGTGCAAACTACAGTTCGCCCTGCTTTCCTCGCGATATTGCACGCTCGTCGGCTCGCGAAGCCTCGCTTTGCCGTGTGATATCCGGAGTTTATTTTCGTGCCCTCTCATTCTGCCAAAATGAGGCACGCCGCGGAAATTAAACTCGAGAATAATGAGTTAATTTGAACTCGCGATTAGTTAACTCCACTTCTACCCGATGTGGACGCCCGACTAGTTTCGCGCATGGAATTGCATCGAATTTTTCAACTGCGGTAAACGCCTGTGGTAACGTAATAGCGCGATATAATGATAAAGATTGTAACTTTTTTTTCTGTTCTCCAATTTCCTTTCAATTATATTAATACTCATCCCATTCCACTATCACTGCAAAACATGTTCATTCTAAATTCCACGAAATTATAACGAAAAAAGTCCCTGGTTTTATCTGTAACGCAACGTACTTTAATCGTGTGGAAGAATTTTGCAATTTTATAAAGCCAATTTCAAATTTTGTTAGAACTACGAATTGAAACTTTCAAATACCAATATCGTTTTTATTTGACTTCTGAACTGAGTGTTTTAAGTATGAAAATGTTCGTCTACGCGGTCCGTAACTTCTCCTGGCATTATTTTCTGCATAAAAGCTAATAAAAAGAATTACAAGCGCAAAAACTATATGTGATTGTGTCGGTAAAAAAGATAGCTGAAGGATTCCCTTAACAGGAT